TAGCAGGAACAAAAAGATTTATAGGTATAACACATCTTTGTCAATTGGTTTCTTCTAAGCCTTTAAAAATATCCTTTAACTTTATTGAGTCATCCAACTTATAAACTTTGTTAGTCCAATATCCCATAAGGTTTTAGCTTTTTGACTACTTTTGAGGACCCACCTCACTTGAATACAACTTTTTGTATTTACATCTTATTGATAATGACCATCTTTGTAAGTGTTACTCCAACATTTTATTTCATATGGGCTACTTTTGCCCCTTAGAACTATCTTTCCATATTATGAGAACACTAGCTTATCTTTTGAGTACACCTCTAATGCTTTGGGTTGTTTCAGCATTTATTAGAAATAGCCCCAACTACCATTTCAAGGATCTATGTCTTCATCTTTATTTAACCTTCCATGGTTATCAACTCTAGTCTTAAATTTATAAGCACCATCCTCAATCACACGAGGATAATTCTTTAACTCTTTTATTATTTAAAAGTTTTTATCCTTCTTATGATCTTAACTATAGTTATTTACTATAACAATATTAGCCAATTTATTAAGCCAAATCCTTATATAGATTACATCCTTAATTCTTTGAGAAATTTTTTTTAACATTCTCAAGATCCTAAAGTCATTCCTTTATTAGCCCCTTTCTATCTACTATATTGCCTACTCATTCATGCATAAATTAAAGTGGAGAGCCATGTTCCCCTAACATGCTACTCCTTAAGTATAACCCCACTTTTTGGACCTTTAAATGTCATTATCAAATGGTGATATATTTGACTGCTAATAATAGTCAAACTAAGGAATAGTTTTGATACTAAATTATAAGTGACAAATTTTTTTATTCTACTTTAGTTACTTAAATACATTTTTGACCATTTGTAGGAGTCTTGCTCATAACTTTTATAAGTCCTATTTTTGACTTGGGGACTTACTAGCCCTGTGAATGGCCTCTATGCTACTCAACCTTTGCACTTGGTCCAAGTGCTCCATGTGTTGTATCCCATAACAAACACGCAAAGGTAACATTGACATATCAACCCATGTCGTAAATGTGAATGTAGGTATCGAAAATTATTTGTTAGCTAGTCCTTTCGGATATTCTTTCTTTACAACTATGATGGCAAGAAGTCGGTATTCTTTATTAGTCTTTACCCTGGATCATATATACACTTAGATTAGGAAGGAAATCATA